GCTCCCCAGGGTCTCCCAAGCTCACAGCCTGCCACCATCTTTGCACTGGGTAGGTGGATATGGCATGGTTCAGGATAGGAGGATGGTTACCCGACTTTTCAATCAGATAGGGACATCAGCAGCTTGCCCACTACTGAGCTGACCTCACACTAAGTCAATAGAGGTAGCTGTTGGGTCAGTCTCTTGGGTTTTGACATGAATCTTGAAGAGGTGCCTAGGATCATGGAGAAGAGGTAATGGCTAAGCAGAGTCTGGAGACGAGTCCCCAGATCCTCGTCTGCCATCCCTGTTCCCTGAGCCATCCCAGCCAGGTTGGCAGCTGCCACATGTGTCCTGTGAGGCATTCAAGGGAGATTTTCCAAAAAGAAAGAGTTCCCACCCCACCCCCAACCTGCCTCATGTACCAAAACTCAAGAGTTTCCATGGTGACAGTCAAATTGCAAATCCATCCAAGAATGAACTAGAGAGGGGGGAAAAAAAACCTGCCCATTCCCAGAGAAACAGGCCAGGTTAGCTCTAAGCTACCCAGCCACTGCTGAGGTTGAGGGCCCATCATGATGGGGAAATCTCAGGAAGATCAGGCTCTCCAACAAGTGGATCAGGAAGTCAGGTAGCCAGCTGTGAAGGAAACCGAGAGGGGAGGCCTCATGGTGGGGCCTTATGAGTCTGGGTAAGAAGACCTCTTCTACAGGCTCTCAGACTAGGGTCTCCCAGGGTTTTCCTACTTTGTCTAAAAGCCAAAGCATAGGTAGAAAGCAAGCGCTCACTCCCTGGCCTGTCACAGATACTGCCTCCAGACATGCCGAGCAATTTGCAGAGGATGGAAGAACAGAGGCCAAAGGTTTATGAGCCTAAAAGCTTCATTCAGATCCTGGAAGATTTCTAGTCCTGGTCACTGTTCAGAGGGCAAGCAACATAGGTGGCAAATTCCCCCATGTTTGGGGTTTACAGGGACAGGGAAGAGAAAAGGCTGCTTCTATGACCACTAGAAGAAGCTTCTGCAACTTGGTGACATATTTGCAAGGCCCTCGTAACATGCAGCCTCCTCTCTGTTTTTCCCCCAGTGACTGGAAGTGGCCACCTGCTAGCCAACACTGCCTTCTTTTGCTTTACAAGAGCAGATTGGAAATGGGATGAGTCTTCAGCACGTAGACCTGATGGCTATGGCCAAGCCCCAGCTTAAATCCCCAGGCATGAGGCTGGGCAGATTGTTCTGACAGCAGTGTTTGCTGCACAGGCATGAGGACCCAAGTTCTCGCCCCAGCACCCATGTGAAAAGTTGACACAGTGGTGCCCACCTGTAAACCTAGCACTGGGAGGGGGAGACAGACAGGTACAGGGCTTGCTGGTCCAATAGTCTTGCTGATCTGATAAGCTCCTGGCCTCTGAGTCTCAAAAAAAAAAAATGTAGTGATAGAGGAATACACTCAACACCAACCTCAGACTTCTGTGTATGCACAGCACATACATGCATACACACACACACATATATACACAATACCCAAGCCTGGTCTAGCTTAAAACTCTGGGTACAAAGAGGCCAGGCAAGGGACAGTGTGTCTGTAAGAAATGAGTATTTTCAACTGGTCCCTGCTTTGCAGTCCCATTGTGAGATTATCACTAGAGGCCGTTCTCCCTTTTCCATGGCTGAACCTTTGGGCTCTGTCACAGGAGACTAGTCAAATGACAGTAGCTAGAGGAAGCTTTCTGGAATTTATTTCTGTGATTTCTTTTAACCCTTGTACAGCATAACCATCCTTGACACCCAGGTGACATGGCGCCCTCCCCTCACTCTGGGCTGTGCCGTCTCCATAAACCCTGTCTAGCAGTTTGAGCCTGCTCCCAGGCCCCCTCTTGGAACATGTACAATAGATGACAGAATGCAAGGGGTTACACTGTAACCAACTCCTGGGACATCCAACCCCACTGTCCCTGCCCCTTGGCATTTGTTTACTGGCACTAAGGGATGCAGGTGTCACTGAGCATCTTACAGCCCTGTGCCAAGCTGAGTTCCTAATTGCCTAAGTCTCCAGACCCGCCACAAGGAAGATGGAATATTCCATGTCAGGAAGCACTGATAGATCATCGTGAATGTCTCTGCCAGAAAGATGGAGAGACCATGGTGGAGGTTAGTCACCAACTCTTCACAGGGACCATCCTACCTCCACTAGCATTAGCTAGCTGCCATCCTCTGTTCCTGTATTGTCCCAATGCAGGGGGGTTGGGAGGCATGGAAAGCTACTTGTTCCAGGTGTCTTAAGCAGCCCCACTTCCTGCCCACCACCTCCCACCTCCTGTGTCTGAGGACCCATGGGGTTAGTGTTTAGTCAGCCCAGCAATGAGTCAAAAACGACGTGTTTGTAGCAGTGATGCCTTAGGGTCTGGTCCCCATGGATTCACGTTCAGTCCCAACCTGAAAAGGAACTAAAAAAGCAAGTCAGGTTCTTACCTACAATTCTCATGAACCAGGAGGGGCACATGAACCCACCCCCACCCCTCTTCTTCTTCGTTCTGTGTCATCAACAGCCAAATCGGGAGTCTTGCCAGTGGCATATGAGAGGGGGACCAAGAACAGAAAAGGGTCAGAGGCTGAAGCAGAGGAAAAGCCAGGGACAGACACATTCATCACTCAGAAACAGGAAGTGCACACAAACCTTCCCTTGATGGACAGGAGTGTGGGCGTGGCCCTCTAGATGATGGGATCTCTGTTAGCCAGAACACCCTGGCGGTGCATGAGGAGAACTGACAGACACACCCACAGGAGACTGTCACAGTCATCCTGGTGAGATGAGGGAAGGCCTTGGAGGGAGGAAGGGCATCTAGTGCTCTTGGTCAGGAGGCAACAGATTCAACTTCTATTGAAGGGCACTAGTGAGGTAACCCAACTGGTGGGTGCTTGCCTGGCATGCATGCATAAAGACCTGGATATGAGCCCCGGCATCACAAAACTAGGCTGTTGTGGGCTGGAGAGATAGCTCTGTTTTAAGCCTGTATAGTGCTCTTGTATAGGACCAAAGACCACCTCAGGAGGCTCACAGCTTCCCATAATTCCAACTTCAGAGGGATCCAAATCCTCTGACCTTCATGGGCACTCTGCATTCATGTGTGTATACCTACAATGATGTGCACAGACACATACACACACTAAAAATAAATCTTCAAGCCAGGCGGTGGTGGTACACGCCTTTAATCCCAGCACTTGGGAGGCAGAGGCAGGTGGATTTCTGAGTTCGAGGCCAGCCTGGTCTACAGAGTGATTTCCAGGACAGCCAGGGCCACACAGAGAAACCCAGTCTCGAAAAACCAAAATATTCAAATTCCCAGCATGCAAGTAGTGGAGGCAGGTGGATTAAAAATTCAACCATCCTTGGCAATTCAAGGCCATCCTGTCTCAAAAAAAAAAAAAAATCCATTTGGGTGGTAAAACTAAGGGCATGAAGACCAAATCAAGGCCAATACTATATCATTATCAGACCTGCATAAAGCACCTACTGTGTGCTGGCTGCTTGGCATTGAAGAGCCCAGAGCTAAGACTCTTAAAGGTGAAGTATTTAGCCAGCTCCAACTTTAGCTCCTTGTTTTTGTGACATGAGTCCCTCAGCCAAAAGGTGGCATATGCTAAGACACAAAGACTTTCTAGAAGGTTCTGGATCCAGGACACCTGGTGGGAAACCCATTTCTCCTACCTATACCTACAGTCAGTTTTCCTAAGTGATCATCAAGCACTTCCTCTGGTGGTGCCTCACTGCAGTCTCAGGAGACAGAGCTCAGCTCCAGGAGGAGCTTGCCGCTCCGCAGGACCCTGATCCCCGGCCTTGATGGTCTGTTCTGTTCTCACCTTCCCCAAGATGAAACCTCTGGCTAAGAGTTGGGAGGAGGAAGATGCTCTTACTGAAAGCCTGGTGCTCTGTGAAGACCTCACCTTCCACCTCCCTCAAAACCACACTTTGCTTTCGAAAGGAAAGCCCGGGCTCTGAACCTCCTGCTTTGTGACCCCAGTCAGCCACCTCTCAGAGAGCTGGTTACCTTTGACCTCACATCTACTTATTATCTTTATTATAACTTAGTTACATGCCATGTAAATTAATCAAGAGAGTCAGAAAAGAGGCCAGAGCTGTTTCATTAAAACCAAGATTTCATAAAAGTCTTGAAGGAGCGACTTGCCTCTTTTTTTTTTTAATCTATTGAATTAGGCGTGGGCAGGCCAACTGCAAAAAGCAGAAGGAAGATATGAAAAAAAAAAAACTAGTAAGATTCTGCTCTCGGTTCTATTTCCCAGGGTCTTTAGTCTCCACTGACATGAACCAGGGTCACAGGCCATGGTACAGGTTGGGCCACATGGGCCCTTGTCAGAGAAGCAGCCAGGGCCTGCCTCAGAAGGTTGGCACATGGATGTACATCCCTGCTTAAATTAAAATAGAACGTTTGAAGGATGAATATATCCTGTATTATGACGCCCACGGTCGATGAACCAGCCAAATATGGTGTTGAGTGCAGAAACGAGGGTGTTCACTGAGAGCTCCCTCTGAGCCCTCTCTCCTCCCCGTTCATGTCACCCCACTGTGCTGTGTGATGGCTGAAGAGGATGCAGGCTAGCTCTCTACCAGGGTCCTGATGAAGGAGAGTTAAGTGGTTAGGAACCTCAGCTAGTCTTCCAGTGTTAGGAGTCCATCATCCTTACTGACTGTCATGGGCACATGCCCCAGTCTCCTGCCTGTGAGACTATTCCCTACCAATCTGAAGCTTTTGTGAGTTCAGTTTCTTCTCCATGAAACTATGGACTGGATGTTCAGTGCAGCCAGATGGAGGCCTCAGAGTCCCTGTGGCTACATCAAAAGTGGTCATCCATTTCTACCAAGCAAAAGAGATCCAGCCCACAGGGATGCCATGATGTTCATGAAGATGGCTAGCGAAGGCAAGAGCCCTCCCTGATGGTACTGGGCATGTGGGGTCCATCCTCCTTAGCTGGTGGCAAGGAGCCCCTAGGCCTTTCCATTGTTTCTCATGCCCCAGACAAAAGGGCTGAAATTCTAGGCCACTTGGTGGTGGCAGGAAGGAGGCCTGCCCTGCCCCACTCTGTCTAAGCAGGAGAAATAATCATGACCTCTTCTGTCTGTCTGTCTGTGCCAGTGGTTTCCAGTGACAGTGACTCAGATCTCAGCTCCTCCAGCCTGGAGGACAGACCCATGCCCTCTGGGGTCAAGGGCACAACGGGTGACAAGCCTAGAGGGGACTCAGGTAAGTGTGGAGAAATCAGCTGTTTGTTTCCAGGCCTGAGGTGCTGAGTGGCTTTTTGGTTTCTTTGGTGGCAGCCTCTCCACTGGTATCTGTAAACTGTCCCTAGAAAGGAGTGAGCCTGGAGGTTCAGCAGAACCAAAGAGGCCAGGCTCCTCTGTATGTAAAGGATGAGGCGGGGCCAGCAGCCCGCTTCTCTTCCTAGGAAACACCCTGGTGAACATTGCTCAGTTCACCTTGTGAAGGACAAAAGATACAGAAATTAAGTAAAGTACAGTTCCCTGAACCACTGTCCTTGTGCCATACAACTGCAGTGGGGTCCCTGGCATATGTCATCACCTCCTGACTATCATATGACATCACATATGGCCTCCTCAACACAAATGAGGTAGAACAGGCCATCTCCAAAATCCCTTCTCAGGTTGAGCTCATTTTGTGACTCTTGACATCAGTTAACCTGGACAATGAGGTAGGAGCACAGCGAAGGGAAATGGAAGGGCTGTTCATCTCTTTAAGCACAAGAATGGTCTTCTGAGAAAAGCACCTGCTTCTTCATGTCTTCCTGGGTCACAACTAGGACCTTTGAAGGAAGTTTCAGGGAGGCTGATTTTACTGTATAAAGAGTGAGCCCTACAATAACTGCCCTAAACTGGAATGAAGTGACTTGACGTACTGTCCCAAAGCTAAGACCATGACCGGAATCCTTGTTGGGAATGAAAGATTGGGCTAAGCCAGAAGTACCAAATGCCTGCCATGCACACTGTACCATCTCCATCCTGTGCCATGGCAGACATTACTAGTTGATTATGGTGCTCTTTCCCACAGAGCCCAGATGCGCCTTCAGAATCCTCCTTAAGTTTCCCAAGTTTAGGAAAATGTATAAATTGCCTGCCAACCTTGGTTTCAGGAAAAGCTTGTTCCTCCTCCTCCATGATGGTTCCAGGCCCTCCCTCCACACCAACTCTTAGCTGGGTAAGACCATCTTGAGTAAGGTGTAGGTTTGACAGTGCTACCCTCATACATATATGCCTTATGATCTCCTCCTTCCAGTTAGTGCTTCCTTTTGGAGGCCACAGCTTGTGTAAAGGCCATGGAACAACCTATGAGAGTCAGTTCTCTCCTTCCACCGTGTGGGTCTGGGGATCAAACCCAGCATGTCAGGCTTGTTGGCAAGTACCGTTTTTCAATCCACTGAGCCATTTCCCCAGCCCCACTACACTTTCTTAGACACCGCACGGCAGTTCCTCTGTTCCCATCGCCCTCATGGTCTGACCACTCCCCTCCAGTTTCATCACTTAAACACAAAACCACAAACACATATAGGATTTAGGAGTCCTTAGTAGTTAAAGGTGGCATCTTAATACTGTCTCTCCTCACCAAGTTACCAGACACATACATTCCTTCTCCCCACCCCTCACTCTGTGAAGGTAGGAAAAGCTACTAGTTGCCAATTTTCTTATCAGTAATTTGTTAGTTAGGGGAAGAGCCCATTCTGTTGCTCTAGTGTAGCTCAGGTCAAGCAGCAGAGAGCACAGGTCTGGCTACAACAGGCAGGCGTGTGGGTGGGGACCAATAAGCAGACAGTCCATATTTACTACCCACAATTCCAGAAAAGATTTGGCCAGCCTTTTGCTCTTCCTATTCACACATGGTCTCCTTGCAGGTGGCAGCATGGAGTCACCCAGGATGGGGCCTGCCCGCCCACCCAGCCATCTTTCGGGCAGCCAGAGCAGTCTGGGCAGTGAGGCTGGGGCAGGTGCTACAGAGCCACAGGGAGACACCCCAGCCCGGACTGAGCCCAGGGTACCCGGTGAGTACTACCTTGGCTCTGTTTGTCCAAGCAGCATCTTCATCCCCTCCTCCCTCCCCTAGTGGCCGGTGACATTTTCAGTTCTTCATGTTTACTGAGCTCTGTGCCAGGCAGTGGGGAACAAAGGTCAGCCAGACCCATCTTGGCCAGCTTTGACCAGAGGGACTCAGAATGGTGCCATCTCTGCTTCCCTGTCACTTGTCCATCTTCCCTGGCTCCTAATAGCTGCAGGCAGTTCTCACTGAGCCCAGCCTGAGCTGGAAAGAGTGGAGTCAGGTCTGTCCTTATCCTCCAGACCCCTGCTCCATGGCCGAGCAAGCCAATGCCAGCCTGAATCCTGGGAGGGAGATCTGGGGATGTATGGCATCTACTACCTCCAAGGGCGGCTTTCTGGGAGCTTTGGTGTTCCCGTGGGATAGGTGTAGTAAGCAATGCTCTTACCCTGCCTGGTGCTCACTGGCCCAACATGAGAGCATCATTCACGAACCAGAAAAGGCACAGACTCCTTTAAAGACCTGCCCCAGCTAGTCTGGGCAACCCTGGCCAGAGGCCCATAGACACATACATGAAACAGCACCTGATGTGCCCCTCATGCAGCCTGTGTGCACCCCATTAACCATCCCACTCCCTGTTCCACAGGTCACTGGGAAGGAGATACCAGTAGTCAGGTCTGGGGACCCTCTCTACAGCCCCAGGATGGGATCTAGTCGCAGCCCTGACACACTCAGCCGTGTGTTTGCACACACCAGCACTAAACCTGTGCAGTGCTAGAGAGTGACAATAGTCAGACATAGGCCATGAGACCACTGCAGTCCGCTCTCACTGAAGTGTCCTTCACAGGGTGGCAAGAGCCATCTCTGCCCTGTCCAGTAACAACAGTGGGGTTATGTTTCCCAGAGAATGGACAAGGCGTGTTTCTTCCTGGGTCCAAGGCTCCTCCTGGCATACTGAGGTCACTGTTGCACATACCTGCCTTTGGACAGACTGACTGAAGCACACAGGTGCAGAGAACCAGCTTGTGAGCACACGGCACAGCAGAACAGTGCTGGCTGGTACCCTGGCTTTCTCTGCCCCAGGCCAACCCTGGATCCTCCCAGTGCTCAGGCAGCCATGGGTGCAGGAAGGCCCTGCCTTGTCACATCTATTTCATCCCAAAGCTGGGCTGTCACTGGGGGAAAAGCCACCCCTACTCACTCACTACTCAGTGGTCTTTTTCTCTCTCTTCCAAAGGCAAAAGACATACATGGGCAACTCCCCGCTACTGAGATGGCCAGCTGACATCCCTAAGCTGAGGCAAATTCTCCAGAGGAAGATTCAGAGAGAGACAACAGGGCCAACCCACCGGAGCTCCTCTCTGAAGGTTCTTGAGGCCTCACAAAGCTCCATGATACCTTGACCTCCAACTCAACAAGCCAGTATTTGGGGACTGAGCATGCTTGCCCCCACCCTGTAGTGCCTTATCGACTATCTCACTCAGCACCCCACCTTTATTTATTGCCCCTCCCCCACCCCAGTCATGTCTCGATTCGCTCTGGTCTTGGGTTGGGCTGGGAAGGCCTTCCTATATGCACTGAAGTTTGGGTAGAACCACACAGGGCTTTCTTTGAATTTAATGAGGAGAAATCTAACCCTCAGTGTGACCCTGCAGAGCTGAGCAACCCGCCCCCACCCCACCCCACCCCACCGCAAGCTTGGAGCACCCGCTCCTTTCTCTCTTCAACTGATGGAGGCCAGAGCAGGGCCCTATTTTCCCCGAGGCTAGTCCAGGAGCTGAGTTAAATCCAGCTTTGAGGTTTCCCTGAAGCCCCTTTTGGCCTCTGGGTTTTTGTTCCACCCTGAAACACAGCTCCCCCTAAGACATTAAAACCCTGCCTCATGCTGGCCCAGCCTGGGAGTTTCAAATTCTAAAGCCAGAGAAGGTGTGAAAAATATTCAAAATACAGATGCTTCTGGAAAACCCCTCCCTGGGGTGGGGGTGGGGAGGCGTCCTATGCCCTTCCTTCCTTGAGTCCAGTTCCACCCCCCTCCCACTACTGTCCCTTCCTCCTTGGAGGGCTTTCTCTCCAAGGCCACCAAAGTTAGCCTTTTGCCTGTTGCTGCTGGCGGAAGACAAACTTATCACTTCCCTGTAACATGTAACACATCAGCACTAACATAATAAACATGAGAATTTTTGTGGAGCCTCTCTCTTCCAAGGACCACAATCCCCACATTCCGACCTGTATTGGGATAGCAGTGGATAGACTGAAATAGGAAGCAATGATTCACTGAAACCCTTCTAATTCCCGAGCAAGAGAAACCAGCCAGATCAGAGTCTCAGTGCACCTCCCAACCTAACAGCACATCCAGCCCGCCCACCCGCGCCCCCCCCCCCCCGCACTAATCAAAATGGGTCCTAAATAGACATTGACTTCTGGCTGCATAGGATAGACTGGGCACGAGAATCATTTCTTCTGTCCCATGCAACAGGACATGAAGGACTGAAAGTGGATTAAACTACAAAGACAAAGGGGTAGGAGGGAATGAGAGCGATTTGGGAAACTAAAAAGACGTGACATGAAGACATGTCCATGGTGGGGGGGGGACAAAAAAAAAAGAAGATGTGTCCATCATCAGCTGCCCTAACTCCCAAGATCCCAAGATTCAGATGGGAGGAACCGATCACAAACCTGCCCACTTGCTTTGCATCGTCCCTAGAAAACTCAGAACCTGGAGGGACTAGGAGGTTCACCAAGGGTCTCAAAAGTACTGTTTTGTTTTTAACAATTGGCCACAGGGCCTGTGGTTGGGGGGAAGTCCTTATCTAGAGTGTGTGAGGCATTCGACTCCCAACACTGCAAAAAAACGAATGGAGAGCAAGCCCTGGCCTCATCCCCTTCACGCTCTCCTGACCCCATACCTACCCCATGGACTCCTTATTCACACGGCCTGGTCACTGTCCTTCCTGATCCTGTAACAGGTTCAACTGCTAGCCAGAGTTGAACTAGAAATGTAGTTTAGAGAGCCAAGCACAGCCAGAGGCTGGGTAAGGTCCCTTACTGAAACCTACAATGATCAGAAAACAGACCTTTGCCTGACAGTCAGGCTACCTTCCCTCACCCAAAGCACTTGAGTTTCTCTGGTGAGCCAATGATGGATCCTGGCATTACCTTGGGGTCCCCAGACAGTGAGTCTCTCCTCATTCTCCACTGGGGAGAACCCCAGTCTGTAGGCCCCATTCACATGCAGAGAGCAGCCAGCCAGCATTGTTTATATATGGTGGGAACAGGCAAAGACTCTCAGAGCCTGGCTAAAAACAAAAGCCTAGAGCATCCAGCTTAGAAGAGGAAAAACTTAGATCCTCCGAAGATAGTACTGCAAGAAACAAGAAAATGAAGGAGGAGGCCAGAGGCGGGGCGCCACCAAAGTTAGCCTTTTGCCTGTTGTGTGTGCATCCCTTGTGCTACCAAAAATGGAAAATTCATGGCAACAATGATATTTTAAGAAAAGTTAATGTTCTCCAACATTAAAAACATATTAGTAGAGGGACTGGGAAGAGGATTCGATCACTGCCATGCCACAAGAAGGGGACCCCAGTTTGATCTCCAGAACCCATGTGAAATAGCTGAGCACAGAGGCATTGTCGCCCCAGTGCAGGGGGAGGGGGTGCAGAGACAGGCACATCCCCAAGGCTTGCTAGTGCCTACCAGCCTAACCTACTTACCAAATCCCAGGCCAATGAGAGACCCTAGCTAAAAAATAAAAAAAATATTAAAAAAAGAAGAAGAAGAAGAGCACATAAGAAGCAATACTCCTGAAATTGACTTCTGTGTAACAAGATAAATTTTAAAATTTAAAATAAGGAACGGAAGATGAGGAGGAGATATTTTCCCAGGAAACGAAACACTAAAAACAGAAGTGTAAAAGTTCTGGGGATGGAGCCCAGTTGTTAGAAATCTAGGTATGTCTCTAGCACTGCATCAAACTAGGCAAGGCAGCACACACCTATAACCCCACCTCTCGGGAAGTAGAGGCAGGAGGAGATATTCAAGCTCATCTTTAGCTACATAGCAAATTCGAAACCAGCCTGGGCTACGTGAGACTCGGTCTCACAGTAGGGCGTGGCAGGGATAAAGGGGGCTAACAGAAAACTCCAGCAATATAGAAAGTCCAACTTCTAGCTAAGGGAACTTTCAAAACAAAAAATCAAAGGGCAGAAGTGTTGAGAGGACCCTGAGCATTAGGGGCTGGAGGGACGGCTCAGAGTGCTTGTGGCTTTTACAGAGTTTGGTTCCCAGCACCCTTGGGTAGCAGCTCACAATCTTCAGCCCGGGAATCAATGCCCTCTTCTGGACACTGTGAACACCCTCATGCACTGAGGTATACACATAGTAAAGTAAATCAAAAATGAAAAACCACAGAGGAGAGAAAACGACTCAAGGACTCAGTATTTCCTAGCTGGCCGCAGAAGTTGGTGGACTGGAGCAGGGAACCTTGGCTGCCTCTGCACAGCAGGGTGACTGCAGAGGAGCCCCACAGTTCAAAAGGCTAGAGGACTGTTTTCATCACTGGGAGATGGTGAGGGGCTGGAGCGATTACTTAGCACCTCCTGCTCTTCCAGAAGATCTGGTTCCAGTCCCAGCACCCATGTCAGGTGGCTCACAACCGCCTGCAACTCCAGCTCCAGGAGATCCAACCCCACAGCACCTGCACACACACACATACACACACACACACACACACTCCCCCAGCATGGAAAAGATGAAGGTTGGAGAGAGGACTCCACCGTTTAAAAGCACTTGCTGTACTTGTTGAGGACCTGGGTTCAGTTCCCAGCACCCCCATGGTGACTCACAAAATCTGTAACTCCAGTTCCAGGAGATCCAATGTCCTCTCCTGGATTCTGTGGGTACTGCATATACTTGATGCACAGATAACATGCAAAAGACCCATATGCATAAAGTTAAAAAAAATATTTTTTTGGTGATATGTTTTCATTATGTAACTCTGGCTGTCCTGGAACTCTCTCTGTAGACCAGGCTGGCCTCAAACTCACAGAGGTCCACCTGCCTCTGCCTCCCAAGTGCTGGGATTAAAGATGTGTGCCATCACATCCACCCTAAATAAAAAATTATAAAAGAAAAATAGTAAAGAGTGAAAGGTAGACATTTAAACCTGATTTAAACATTGCACAGTGTAACCAATGTTCAAATATCAAAGATCACTACAAGTACATATTACTTCTCATATTGTTATGTATCTGTTAAAAAATAAATTTTAAAAGTCAAATGCGTAGTGAGGCTGTAGTTCACCGATAGAACACCTGCATAAGACACATGGGGTCGGGTTTAATCCTCAGCATGGCATGATTAACTAACTGATTAATGTAATCATAATATACTGCTGTGACCAAAAATACCAGAGAATCTAACTTGATGGGAGGGAGATTGTTCCAGAGACTTCAGTCTATGATAGCAGGAAGGCATGCTGCCAGCCTGGAACATGGGACAGACTCTCTCTCTCTCTCTCTCTCTCTCTCTCTCTCTCTCTCTCTCTCTCCTCTCTCCTCTCTCTCTCTCTCACACACACACACAAGATGGACAGAAAAGAAAGGAGATAAGAGAGAATAATGCGACAGTATTATCAAAGTACACTATATTAATATATATATATAAATTGTGAAATAATATTTCAAAATTTAAAGCCAGAACTCAAAGAAGCCATGTTGTAAATGTTGAGAGGAAGTGGTTTCTGATCTAGACATATCTAACCAACGTCTGAAAAGTGTGAGTAGAAGCAAAGGTATTTTCAGGCATGCATGTCCTCAGGCTTTTTCACCTTTTATGCATGCTCAGCTACTGCAGGATTCACTCCAACCAGACAGGAAAAACCAAACAGAAGAGAGGATGCAGGGGACACAGGGGAGAGGCAGGGAATCCCTAGGGTCATCAGGAGCCATGTGGTTTTACTGGATTGGAACATGAGGCAGGAGTATGAAACACACACAAGTATGAAGCGGATTGTCCATGTATGACATACACATGTAAACTGGAAAATCCAAAATTAAAACTAGTGCACACAAAGGAGCTAAAAGTCCCCAAGGTTGCCTCGGGCCTTGGGACAGACAGGGGTTACCATCAGCAAACGTCACAGGACACTTGAAACACTGGAATCTTTGAGTATGTATAATAGGGTGGTGCACATGCCACAGCACACATGAGGTCGGAGGACAACTCCGTGGAGTCTATTCTACTTTTATAAGTTCAGAAGATCAAAGTCAAGCCATCACTTGCATGGCAAGGGCTTCACCCACTCAGCCATCTTGCTGGCCCCTAGAGTCTTTGAGGGAAGGCATCCACACCAAGTACCTAACAAACCCAGGGAGGGGGGCTGTCGGCAGTGAGGCACTCTAAGCCTATAGCAGGAGCTGAGGCACTGCAGACCTCCTAGACTTAGTGCCCCCAACTCAGGACTGCTTAGCACAGATGCAAAAGCAGCCTACATTCACAGAGACTGCTATGCAAATTACGACAGTCTCACGAAGGCAGACGCTGTCTCAGGGTTTTTCTGCTGTGAACAGACACCATGGCCAAGGCAACTCTTATAAGGACATTTAATTAGGGCTGGTTTATAGGTTCAGCGGTTCAGTCCATTACCATCTAGGTGGGAACATGGCAGCACCCAGGCAGACATGGTGCAGGAGGGAGCAAGTTCTACATCTTTATCTGAAGGCGGCTAGGAGAAGATTGACTCCTCAGACAGCTATGAGAAGGGTCATAAAGTCCCCCCTCCCCTACAGTGGCACACCTCCTCCAAGGCCACAAGACCACACCTCCTAACAGTGCCCTTCCTGGGCCAGGCACATTCAAACCACCACAGACGCCATATATATTCTCTCATTGTGGTTCTTAGATTTTATAAAGTCATATAAAAGCCACATGTGTATATGGTAATGCAAGAAGTGGGATTGTCTAAGCCAGTGGTTCTCAGCCTGTGGGTCGAAACCCCTTTGGAGGTCATTACAGGGGTCACCTAAGATATGACCCCTAAGATATGACACCTAAGACATGACACCTAAGACATGACACCTAA